GGAAAAAAAGGCAAATGCTGTTGTGGTAGGAAGAAGGAGGCTTTTTGTGAGTAACTAATGAAGTTACCCAAATAAGCAATGGTGCCTTGGTGATATCCAGAGCCCTTACGGGAGGGGAGAACAGAAGGTTATCATACAAGCTCAAGGAAATGTTTTTATACAAAGGGAGGAAAAAGCAGCCCAAGAAGAGCTGCTCCACATTGTAACTGCATGGGACTGCCACAAACAATTCAGAAGACAGAATCATAGTTCAAAATGCTCTTTGATGGACTGGAGAAATGAGACGAGAAAGTCAAATAGGAAGTTGTTGGAAGGATAAATGCAAAATTTTACAGCTAGGCAGGAGCAATCAATGCTGGAGTAGCTGCTGTCTGAGCACCAGCTGTGTAGAGAGCAAGGTATGAGTGCAGTGCCACGCAAACTCAATGTGAGTCAACAAGGCCCTGCTGTTGAGAAAAAAGCAAACATTTTGCAGGGTTATGCAAACAGGAATATAGGCTGCAGGACACATGGCACTCTCAGCACTGGTGCGCTTTGGGGAGGGACCATGTCCCATCTGGAATGCTGCATTTAACAAATAAGATACAGCCCATGTGGGACATGGCCCGAGAAGCACAACATGCAGATACATGGCCCTGGAGTAACAACTGGAAGAACTGCAGTTGTTCAGAAAAGGGAAACCTGAAAAAAGGCAGAACTGCCTTCATTTAGCTAAAGGGAAATGAGGAGGGGGATAAACCACTTTTCATGTTCCTTCAGAGCAGGAGAAAGTGGAAAAGGTCACAGTTACAGCAGTAACGATTTAGGCTGAACATCTGAACAACATCATTGCTCAGGCTGGAAGGGACCTTGGGCCATCTGCAGCCCAGCCTCCTGGTCAAGGCAGGGTCCATCTAGATATCAACACAGGTTGCTCAGGCCTTGTCCAGTCCAGTCTTGAAGGCCTCCCAGGACAGAGGCTGCACAGTCAGTACAGTGCCTTACCGTCCTCACAGGGAAAGTGCTCTTCCTAGACCCGTCTGGTATGTCCCCTCTGTCAATCTATGACTTCAAGTAAAGATCCTGACTTTTCCTGTTGCTGACCTCCCTGAAGGCACAGGGAGGAGGCTGTTAGATTCCCTCACAGTCATTCTTCCCGTATGCTAAGCAAGCCCTGCTCACCTGGCCTGTTCTCACGGGGCCACCACTCCAACCCTTGGCTGTCTTGGAAGTCCTCTCCAGCACCCCAAGCTCACTCCAATTTACTGATGTCTTTTCCATACCAGGGGCTCTAAACAATAGACAGTATTTGGTGTGGTCTAATGGGTGCTGAGTAGAGGGGGATAAGTGATTCCCTTCTCTCAGCCTGCTGGTTGTCCCTGTTCATCCCACCAAGGATGCAGCTGGCCCTCTTTGCTCCCAGGACACACTGTGGCCCCACATCCAACTTGCTGCCTACTATGACCCCAGGGCCTTACCTGCAGAGTTGCTCCCCTGCCAGGCCAGTGCCCTGCCAGTGGCCGGTCCACCCAAGGGGTGGGACTTTGACTTTGTCCTTGCCGAATTTCACAAGGTTTCAGCCTGTCCTTGTGGATGATTGCCCGGCCCTTGTGTGTATCAGGTGAGCCATCCCAGTTTGGTGTCATCCACTAATCCATGAGGACACACTCATTTTCTCTTCTAAGTCACTGATGGAAATATTAGAACAGATACCAGCACAGACCCCATACGGTAGTTATAACTGCTCTCTAGGCAAGGTATGAACTATTTATCACTGCCCTCTGAGCCAAATGACCCAGCCAGTTTTTCTCTCATCTGGCAAGCCACCTATGCAGAGTATAATAACCGAGCTTGGATGGAGTGAGAGACTCTTTCAGAAACCTTCCTCACATAATCTACAAGTACTACATGGAGAACATAATCTGCTGCTCCCTCTTCATTATGTATCTATTTCCTTTGCCGAAGATGTTTTTCTCTGGCAGGTCCAAAAGCACAAGGCTTGCGTCCTTGTAGGCTGAGCAGGAAGGGTGGTTAAATGTCTCTTTGTTGTGGTCAACACGGCCACATTAAAAGGTAAAAAAATAATATCCAAAAAAGAAATAATGAGTCAAACCCCAGACATTACTGAGACTACTACTTGGCCAGATTTTGGGCTTAGACCTTGGAATTTCCCTTTCCCATCCCCAGTCCGGCAATGTAAGAGTTAACATTGCATGCAATCCCAAAGTCAGTAGGGCTATCTGCTCACTTTCCACTTGTGCTTTGTCCACAAACCAGTTCTTCATGTTCTGCCTCAGAGTCCCCTTACCAAGTTTTTCCCTTCTGTAGCTCCAGGAGTTTTTTCTCCAGCAATGCAAGAGAAAAACAGAAGCAGCGTCCTCCATATTCACTAGAAGCAAGGGAGGAAGGAAGAGGATATGATGGAAGATTCAGGGCTGTTTTGATCTGTGTTCTCATCTCTCTCCTAGGCACAAGCAGAATGAGCTCTCAAGGGAAATGGGTGGGTAGGAAAGGGAGGAGCGGTTGCTCCGTGTGGCTCTTCCCGCAGGTCTCAGGCCCAGGAGGCAGGCTGGTACACATGCTGCAGTGGGAGCAGCTCAGTCTCTCCCTCAGCCTGGCTCTAATCCCAGACAGCTCCAGGAAGAAAGTGAGAGCAATCTGAAACACATCCAACGCTCAGCCGCATAGGTAGCAGACTTGAAACCAAGCCAGGTGCTGGCAAGAGCACAGCAGGCCTAAGCCTGGCAGACTAAAAAGGCTTTTCTGTGGAAAGTGAGGAGGTAGGGAGACTGGCTTGACTGCCGTCTGCTGCCTTTCTGCTGCTTTGTCACTGAAAGCAGAGCAGAGACAATTTTTCTTCCTCTAGACTTCACTAAACATGCAGTTTGCAATTGGGAGCTGGAAGTGGCCCTCAGCACACTGGTTTCACAGTGGCCAGGAAGACAGTGCTCTGCATACCTCTGTCAAAAATGCATGGGTTTGAAAGGAGTACCTGAGACATACTAAGTTTTCTCTTCCTAGTGGGAACAGCTTGCAGAGCTCTGAATATCACTAAGGTACTTAGATCAAAGAGGCAACCACACCCACAGAAGCTGCCCAGGGGTACAGCTCCCCACCAGCCTCACTGGCATCCCACTGCTCCCTCAGAAGCTATCACCATTCTGCTCTCCGGATGTACAAATGTGAGTAACTTGCCTTTGGTCCTATCAAAGCAATGTTGTTACAAAGCACACACCAAAACTGAAATTAGGAAGTTGTGCTGAGTCCAGTGATTATCAGAGCATCGCTAAGGAGGTTTTTGCATTTTAACAGAGATAAGCACACCCTCATCCCTCCCACTTTTCAGGTGCGGACATGAAGCCACTGGCTACCAGAGCTGGTTTACCGGCAGCAGATCTGGTTTGTTATCCACAAATCCAGTCTACAGCTGTAGATCAGTTTTGTGGCAGTAAGCTCCAGCAGGAAAATGGGGACCTTCTAAAGTGGTTCTGCCCTTACTGAAGTACTATGGGCTCGTGGTACAGGACAGCAGTGGCCTTTCCCTTGTGGTTCCTCCTGCTGAAGGTTATGATTGCAAGAAATAAAGCATGTAATGCATTAACAGGGGATTAGATGTTTATGACCAAGGAGCACATTGCAGACAAGGAAGGATTATTCACATATTCCAGGAGACATGCTCAATTTTCCATATATGTGGATTTAACAAAATGAGAACTGCAAAAAGAAAAATAATTTGGAGAAATTTGTAAAAATAACACCAAAAGTAACACTGGCTAATCGGATGAGTTCAGAAATACTTGTGCACAGCTTTAGCATGTATCAATTCAGCATCAGTTTAGAACATAGCAATTCAACATGAAGAGATACTGATTTATTCGAGACATTTACCTGCAATTTTTATATTTTCAAAAACTGAAATTCATGCACTCCAAGGCAAAATTGTGCTCTACAGTAACACAGCTCAGTGTCATCCTTGCAATAAACGTCAAATACAGGCACAATTATTCTCTCCTCTGACAGCCTTTCAATTAGCAGTTCTTTACCAGCTGGAATGGCCACACACCAACTTGGTTCTCTTTTTTAGCTCTCACTTTTCCTGAACAGGACTGTCTTGTGGGGCAGTCACCAGTGCTACAGCATCAGCAGCTACAAGTGTCTGGAGAACGGAGCGATTGACATCCCTCCTGCCCTGAAAGCAGCTTCATTTCTAATGTACTAAAGACAGTAGGTGCAGTTTAATGTGGTGTTGTACAACTGTAGGTGTGGTTATTAACACCCAAAGTTTTGCAGTTTGAACAACGCAACCTTAAGAATCGTCTTTTAAAACCATGACTTCTTTCAATCAAACATGCTCCTTCTGTCAAAATGGAGCCTTCTTGTCCTCTACAGACCACACCAGAAACTTGCAGGATCTCTCAACCAGAAGCCTTATTCATTAAAAAAAAAAAAAAAAAAAAAAAAAACCACCAAAAAAACCCAAACCAAACCCTAACTCCTAACCCCAAGTTGCACTCTTGATACTTCAACTTTATCAAGTAAATATGGAGATGACAGGTGTTTTGTTGTTTTGGTTTTTTTTAGATGAAGACAAGCTTCATCAGCTTTAAGAAACAGAAGGCAAAGAATAATCACTCAAAATTAGCTCAAGTCAGACAAGAGCTAAAAATCTGAAACTTGAAGTCCATGTCCTCATTAGTCATTTAAGAGCAGCATCCCATCTAAAGGAACGGGATAAATTTTGTGAGGTTCTTATAAAAACAAGGCTTTATTTTGAGCAAGTTTTCTCCATTTGGTTTTACAGTCTCAACATACATCATATCCATGGACAAGCAGTATTTTCACAGAATAAGAGCCAAATACAAAGAGGAAGCCACTTGGGATTAACAGTTTCAACCTAACTGACTCAAGACTTCAAAAAATACCTTATGCTGTCACTTATTTGAGGTAAAGGAATTCCATAAATTAGGATCTAAAGTTTAACAGAAGACTTAACAATGAAATATTTGAGAGAAGTAGGTATCTCAAGGAGGAAGGGGTGGGGAGAAGTGATCTTACTCTAAGACATTATGAGCAACTACAGAAGGGGAAGGTAGGATTTCCACTTGGTTTGTATTGGTAAAGCCAATACAGTTTGGACTACGATGTGTGTTTAGCCAAATTTGTGCAGTTTTAAATTTCAAATGTGATGAATTTTACTGGTAATAGTCTTCAAAGGTGAACCTAACTGAAGTTAGGTCATGAGCTTAGTTTGTATGTTGAATGCTGTCACTAGGTAATCATTACACAATCAGGTAATGGTTGATGCACAAGTTTTTTTTTCCTTTGAGTATCCAGCAAAATCCATTGCTTTCAGTGCCCATTATGACATATTCCAGTTACACGGTTAACTTTTGGACAGCTGTGCAGTCAGACCATTTGGTGGAATTCAAGAGGGCTTTTTTAAAGAAATACTGGGCTAGAGGGAGAAATCAATCTTCTGCTATCTGTTCATACAGAAATATACCTGCAGTTTAACAGGGCTTAAATAAACAGATGAAAGCCATTACAGGGACACATTTATAGTTTAACTTGTTTATACAGCAAATCAGCTTGTGTCATTACTCTATAGGAAAATAATCGTAAACCTTTTTAAGCAGTTCTGCCATTACACTAGATACTGGTTTGAAAACAAGAAAGACTATCCTCATCTTTTTGAGCCCAAGATTTAAGTTAGCTCAATAATCTTACATTTCACTGAAGAGGAAAGGGAACTAGATTCATATCCTGTAAACTGCAAGAACTGAATTATCAATGTTAGATTACTAACACCTAGCAGAAATACCACAGGTGTCAACTCAGCTATTTTTTGCCAGGCACTGCTCAATTTCTCCAGCGAAAAGAAAGCATAATTTGATTCATGTATTTGCAAACATAAGCAGTGAAGCCAACTTCAGAGGGATATGCTTCTTTTAAAAGGTTACTGGCAAAGCAGATTAATTTAGAACAGCTCTTTTTTCAATATTATTTTGTTTCCCAACTCCAAGTTCCAGTGAGCAAAAGCTTTATACTTACTTTGGAGGCAGAGAGAAGCTGGTTTGTTAATCTATGTTCTTTTGTTTTGAAGATTAATAACGGAGCAAATTTATAATTTAGCAAGTTATCTGACTCAGAACTAAAACAGGACTAGTAAATTCTCTCCTCCTCTGGAAAGCTCTATTACATACCTTCAAGTACATCAAGTTGTATCTTGCAGAAATATGACCACTGACCAAAATGTCTTACTATGTTCCACTTTGAATAAAAGCAGATAAAGTTAAACTGCAAGCCAGCCATTGTACAAATTCTCTCTCAAGATGTTCCAGCAACATTTCATTTAGAGCTTAAACTCCTTAGGAGATACAAAACCTAAGATATACAGCTATTGTGTAATTCAATTAAAATTCAGATAGAAAAAGATGTCTTGTTTGTGAAAAACTGCCATCTATCCATTAGCTTTTATCACACTTCAAGCTAACAGGAAGTTAGTAAATGTGGAAAGACACATTTACTAGCTTCCTATTAGTTAGTAAAGACACATTGAACTAGCTTCCTATTAGTTTCCTATGACCTTGAACACTTAACAATGCTTTTCATTAAATGACAGCTAAGAGAACATGGAGTGGAAAAAAAAATCCCTTCAGTCCTAGAGAAATTTGGTCCTTGTGTTTAGGACCTTGCATTTCCTTCAATAGATGCTATGTATTGTGCTGCACAGAACATAAATTTCCTTACAAAGCCTCACCTGCCTATTATGAATTATTGCAATAAAAAATATTACTATTTTCCCCCCACTAGGGAAAGTTGCACTAGGCAACTTTCCAGCCAAAGACAAGGAATTTAGTGAAGAATCATAAAAAAAAAATTAAGCTATGAACTCTGGCACAGTAGCAATTCAGCTACTCCAGAGTGCTTATAAAATAGGCTTTAGATGTTACACCAAGAAATTGGATTTATTGTAAATGCCACAGTCACAGTGATAGACAGAGCACAGACTTCTGGTAACAAACAAACATACATTTTTTTAACTAAGCGCTTCTACTTTGTAAATAAACGCATTTTGCACAGCCTTCCTTTTAAATGTGCCTAAACTAACCTAAATAAGCAGACAGCATAGCAGAAAAGGGAAACTTATGTGAGTAACTGTTTCTTAAGCAGTATATTATTTTTACTATGTATATAATATTTTATATTATATACACACACATTTTCATCAACAGTTCAAATTATACCCAAATAAAGAAGAAAAAAACAAAAAAAAACAAAAACCAAAATCAAACCCAAAACTGGCGCTCCTCCAATACATTTACCACCTTTCCCTCAGGCATAGTTAATCCAGGTAATTTGTCAAGATAGAGGAATGACAGTTAAAAAGACTCCCCCCACAAGAAACAAGTTACACAAAGAATACTGTATCACTACAAATTTTTTATTCAGAAGCCCATCTTTTAAAAAAAATCTCATTATGAACTTGTTTGGTCAAACTACAACACTTTCTAGCAGACATACAGTAAAAATGGCATGGCTCAGAATCGACCAGATCTTTCACGATCTCTTGACCGCCTCCTATCACGTTCGCGTCCTCCTCCTCCACCACCACCACCTCCACGACCACGATCTCTGGATCTAGACCGACGTTCACGGGACCTCGACCTGGATCTATGCCTTTGAAGAAAGTTGGAACATTTTATTGTTTCATCACAATTGCCAGTTTACTTGTAGTACCACACAGTGGAACATTCAAGGACGTACATAACAAGGAAAAGAGACAGTGTGATTAGGAGGGCTGGTGAACTGGCACTCAGGCTGTGAAACCACATAGCATCAACAAAGTTGGAAAAGGCCTTTAAGATATTTACAAACTGAGCAAACTTAATACCAGGGAGTCAACATATACTGTTAAAAAAGATTTCAACTGCTCCCAATGGATGAGCAAGCCTTGGAAAAAGGCAAGGAGAGGAACTAAATGCACTTTATGCAGCTGTTAATTAAAGCAGCAAGAGAAGGGGACACCTGTTTCAGCAGTTACAAATAGCTCTTAACAACACACATCAAAACCCTACAGCTCCAAGTCCATTCCTATTAAATCAACTGCATTAATCAGCAATAACAACTCAGTTATCTTTTTGGGGGGTAGGTTTTTTTTCATTTTTGTTTTCCTTCCAGAAGCCATCAGTATTTGCAAATAATCCTTCCTGCCTCTGAGGTCAATGACATATTCAAGAAGAAAGCTAAGACCACCCAGCATGTAATGCTAACACAGCTAGTGTGGATTTATACTTTATATGGACCTTTTCAAGGAAAGGAGTGGTTTGAATGCTTTTAAGCATTTTAGAAAAGCCGATTTTATAAAAATAAGTAAACAGTACATTTTAAAATAGGTGTAGAAATCAGCAGAGCTAAAAAGCTCAGGAAATTAATGCTACAAGTCTTAAGTATGCAGAATATTGTTACATGACGACATTTTTTGGGGTGGGAGTGTGGGTGGTGACAAATTTTACTATGACAGAGACATACAGCACTCTTGCACTTGCATACCACTGAGCTGTTCAGAATTATTAAATTAACCTATCACTCAAAAGTTCTGGGTTACTCGATTTTCTCCTCCCTCCCCCCAAAGACTTTGATGTATTTCATTGTGCAGAACTACTTTCAGGTTAGTCTCATTTATACAATCTACCTGTGAAACCTCCCTGACACTTTTTCTAATATCTAGCCTTACTGCTAACCTGTGACAGCTTTAGCTGCACAAAGGATTTAAATATGGCAAACTGGGCAATGGGTAAAACCACCATATTCCAAAGCCAAACACAAAAGTCTGATCTTTCTTGCAATAAAAGGTGAGACCTTTTAAGTGGTGGTATTAAATTCAAGCGATCCAGACCCATAAAAATGACCAAAAGGCCAATATAAGAGCATGTTTCATCTTTTTAAACTTCTTAAATGCTTACATTTGAGTTTAAATTAGTATTAATTGGGAAAGTAGTTAGGCACAAATACATATGCTTAAGCAACACAATCTACATTTTCCAAAGTTGTATTCATCCTCACGAGTTCTAAGACACTGCCAATCAAAGACATTTATAGGAAAAGAACACCTTCCATCATCCCAGGCTCCTTCTGTGATTGGAAGAAAATTACATAATTGTGCTCTCTATAAAAGGAAGCTCAACAGCTTTATACGCCTTTCCTAAAGAGCAAGCTCCTAAAAGCAAGCAGACTGAATCCAGCTCAAAGTGAACCATACACAGGTGTTATCGTAACAGTAGTGATATAAGCCTTTCTACAAGTTACCTTAATAAATGAATGTAAATATAAACTGTATGTACCACAACTTGTTGCTATTAAGCAGAATTACTACTCCTTTGCCCTACTGAGACTTTCTATCAAGAAGGGTCACATTGTGAGGCTAGTGCTATTAAAAATAAGCTCAGTACAGCAACTGCCTCTTGCTGACACTAAGGAATGAATACAGGCTAGAAAAATTGGCCACTAATTGTTTAAAAAAAAAATAAGGTTGGGTCCTGAATATAATCTATAGTTATACTTGATTGTGCATAATGTTGAAAGTGGCCAGTCTGTTCCTGCCAAAATTACCATTAGCCAAATAGCCTACTTCTGACAGAGGATGTGAGCAAATACATTTAGAAGAGAATACAAGAGAGAAGGGGCAAAGCAATACTTCTCCAAGTAATGTCCACCTGCAACAGTACACAGTTCGGAGACTTGACTCACAGGCAGGTCCCATGTAATCAGTAACTCGGTGGATGTTGTTGTTCTTGAACCCTGCCTTCTCTTATATCCACATCAACCTTCAAGCTTCCACAGCACTCACAGCACGAACCACCATAACTTTTTTTGTTTTTAAACAGAGACCTATTCCTTTGCCCTAACTGGCCACTTGCTAGTTTCACTTGATGCCCTTTACCTGGTGCCTTTCACTGGCATGTGCCAGAACTGCTTTAGAAAGAACGAGGAGGACTTAAGTTTAAAGATCTGCCTTCAGAATTTTCAGCAACTGGCTCTGAATTTACCTGCTTTAATCATATTTAAAAGCAAACTTACTTTTTACGCCGCCGCCCATACAACTCGCGCCTTAATTCTCGAGAAATGGGCTTCAAATGCATAAAGTTGCAGAAGCCTCCTCGTGTACACTCGCTGAAACAGAATTCAAGAGACACAGTTACAATTCCCACCTCTAGGCTTTATCTCTTTCCCCTAAACCCTAGTGGGCCTCTAGCCATCTGAAAGTTAATTTCCTCTAACACTAAACCGAGTAAACTGCAAGCATCACTTACTGACTCTGACTCACTCCTAGATCAAAATCTTACAAAATACGTCAAAAGTCAAGAGGTTCAGTGCAGATACTTCACATTAATATTACCTGAAGTGTTTTTTTTTTGGTACCCTAAGCTACATGTAAAGGCCTGACCCAAGCAACCACCCTGTTTTGTCCAAGCATTTCAGAGATACTGCCAGAGGAAGTCACTTTTTACCCCATTTCATATTGACGGCAACAGGCCTCTCTGAAGTCAGTCACAGGGGAAAGCTCAGCATGAATGGGCTGTCCATTAAACCAACGATTGTTCAGGTCAATCACAGCCTTTTCTGCATCTTCTTCACGGCGAAACTAAAAGCAAAATCAACATTTTTTCATATTATAGAGAAGCAAGAGAAGTAGCCTGAAGATTCCTATCAGATCAGCTGTGTGTTATCTGAGGCTTAGAACTAGTAATCAAACTAGAAGCTACTTCAGAATTCCTGGGACAGTCCATCAAATCAAGGGTAAAGATGACAGCTTCTCATTAATCAGGAATCGGCTAATCAGAACATCAGTGTCTCCTCTTATGTTCTATTTGGTCTTTCAAGTTAGAAAGTTAGTCAACAGAAGAAGATATGTATTCTTAGTATAACTTTAAACAAACAGAATGCTTAAGAGTACTTTCTACAACATTAATGCTCCAAACTGAATGGGCCTTTTCCCCCAACATTTAAGAGAAATGTGCACAAGAACTGAACCTCTCAATCGATCAGATTTCTGTAAATTCTGACTTCAGTTTTATGATGAACATAAAACTTCAATTTGAAATTCCTTTTCACACCTGAAAACTCCTGAATTTTTTATAACAATTTTTTCCTCTGATGATAATCTACACAACTGAGAATTTTAGGCTTTACTTTCCAGGGAAAGGAATGCACAGTAAAAATTGTCAAACTAACAGTCTCAAAACTCCCCAACTCTGTGTACACACCATGAAATTTCTTCGGTGACAACTTTTTGCTCATTATTCAAGAGATACCAATGACTTCTAAGAGCTAAGCTCAAGTGTTCCAATTTGCACCTTAAACCATCCAGGTACTGCCAAATTAGCTTGGTTACAAGACATTTTGTTTAACAGAGAAGCTAGAAAATAAATGCAACCATTGTGAATAAATCTCTGCTCGTAACTAAATGCTTAACAGGCAGCACGATAGAAAGACCCCAAATTAATTCAGCAAACTGAACAGGCCATCAGTGGTGACTGTATTTATAAGAATGTATAAAAAAAGTGTTAATCTTTATGAAAGCAGCAGATTTGGAGTATCGAGAACTTCACATAATCTCTTAAAATTTCAGATTCCATTCACATTTTCACTTCCTACTTTATATTATGAAGTTGGAGAGGAACTTATGTCCTGAAGAGCTACTCTCACAAGTTACAAGCATACAGTAGCTTTCAGAATTATAAAGTAAATAAATACCACCCCTACTGATTATATAAAAACGTTTCTCTATCCTACCTTTACATATACGTTTCCTACTAGATGATCTCCAAGGTTATCACAAACATTCATCTCTTCAACTTCACCATATTTTTCTTCCATTTCTGTGAAGACCTCCTAAGCACAAAACAACCAATTAAAAGATTGCAGCTCATTAGTTCTAACTACAGAAGTACTGCATTTAGATATTACTAAGTACAAAAGAAGTCCTTTCTTTAAAAAAAGGGAAAATACCCCCCCCCCCCTTTTTTTTTTACATTTCTGATTTTAAAATTAGTACTTGCTTGGCTAGTACTGTGTCCATCTGTAATTAGGGCACTAACAGGATACAATAAAAAGCTATGGAAAACATTACGCATACAGTATTTACAGAACACGTAAGATGCACTGAAAACACTATACATAAGCCTTGATGCTAATAGTTTTACTCAATTTGCTTCTATAGTTAAGTATATTTTAAGTTTACAGCAAAGAGGAGTATTAATGGAATCAAAATGCTACACTGCTTAACTGCTGTTGATTTTTAAACAAAGTCCATTATGAACAGCAAAGTTAATGCCAAATCAAAGGTTATACCAGGAAATACGAAGCACTCAAGGTTGTAATTTTTAGAATGCCACCTGAGGAAACAAGTGCTTTTCTGTGAATCTACCTAACTTATTTTGCTGACAAATCCACAAACTCTTTAATACATTTTTACATCTGTTACATACCTCAAAGAATTCATCGTAATGTTCCTGCATCTCAACATCACTCACAGCACCTGTAAAAAATCAAGAGTCATATTGATTAGAGCCTATAAGTAATAAAGAAGAGACTCTGATCATACTACAAAACAATCTAGAGAGGCCGTCTGGAGCATAAAAGACATCATATAGCATGGAGCTAACTAACAGGAATATTAAAAATAAGTATGTTTGAAAAACTTTGAGTTCCCAAAGTATATGTCAAAACATTACATTGACATGATCAAATAAAAACAAGTTTTAATCAGAGCCAAACTTTTATGCCACAAATTTAAAAGGGGAAAGGAATTACTCTTAAATATCACTTAAATTTAATATACAGTCCTACCCTCTTTCTACCAAGTTTTACCTAAACAGAAGGCAAGTGGCTTTGTTATATTTGCATATTTTTATATTTTATTGCATGATTAAAATTTAGTGTTCCTCTTCCTAAAGCCAGAATTTTATTTTAACACCTCTCCAGCACATTAACACTAGAATTTGCAAGTTCACAATGTAACACAGCCTAGAATTCTTATTTTTACATTTGCTTAAAATAGTTATTGAAATGACACACTTCCCTGAGTGCCCTCAAAGAGGGTACCATCATGCTCTGCAACAGAGAGCAATTTCCTAGTTTAATTTTGAACATCACTTCATTTTCCTGTAGTCCTGCAGAACACCTTTAAGTGCAAGACAAGCCAGCCATATATTCAGGTTAGATTATTTTCGTGCTTTAAGCTGGACTTCACAAATGAGCGCTGCTTGCCTGCTGCTATAAAAAACAATGCAAGTTTGGCTGATTTTTCAAAGCATTAAGAATATATAAACAAATTTCATTTATTTCTTCCAGACTACAGCATTTTAAACTACATTAAGGTGTACACATTAAAGCTTAATGTATTAGCTCTTCAGCAGTTAAGTGGTTTATCAAGATCAAGCAGACCAGCTTTAAAATGAAGCCTGCATTTTATTCTAGAAAAAGTGTTCTAGCCTTTAAATTACAAACACTGCTGGTTTAGTTCACAGAATGTGAGAGAGAGACTGAGCCAACAAAGTTGTGTTTATTTACTTCAGTCTGCTATGGAAAGAAAGAAGTGCCTTGGGCTCAGTCATTTTTGGCTAATGTTACCATTTGGATGAGCTTCACATTTTCCTTCAAAGGCTCTAATATTAACCAGCCACACTCTTTGGAACGGTCATTACTTTCTTTCCACCTATCTCACCTCCTGAAGAAGGATAGGGGGAACGTGCTATACAGTTTGGGATAGGAGTTTCTACATTTGAAACATGTCTGCTTTTAAGAACTTTTTTCTTCCCTTTGGTTATACAGCAAATTAAGGAATATCAAATATTAAACCAAACCTTCTATACAGTTTAATACTTAACTATATTCCCAGGGTTCTGCCAACACCACTGATAAAAGCTTACTAATATCTAATGATTGGGCTTGGGTTTTTTTTGTTTGTTTTGTGGATTTTTTTTTTTAAAGAATACCATACAGGGGCTCTGTAAGCCACACTGGGAATAAATACTATAATAATACTTGTTAACAGATGGACAAGCACTAAAAACTTGTAAGGAGATTTCACTGTCATATTAGGATATCATAAACAACAGTTAGTTAATGACTACTTGAACGTCCTTCTAAAGTGGGAAGCATACATATGCACAGGCTTTATAAACATTCATTTGCCAGGGCCGCTGGTATCTGAACCTTGAGAAGCCCAAGTACTAATTGAAATACTCAGGAAAACTACTGCTGTTCAAAACTAAGGTTAATCCTCTATGACGGCAATAGAAAGGAAGACAGTTAAGCAACAATAACAAAAGCATTAAATAGCTACCCAATTTATCCATTAAAAATACATGCAGTACTTAAGTAGGGACAAGTTTTGAGAAAACAAGCCAGGAGTTTCAGCAAACTTACTGGTAACAACAGAGCTTCAGCTCTACCACAGAAGGTATAGTCAAGCTCTGTTGACTAGCTACCCGCTCTTCAAGACAAACTAGAGACGGATACCAGCATTCAGAAAACACTAGAGAATCTGTTCAAGGCTCTTGCAACTTTACAATCTAAACAGCTCCACAGACCAAATTGCTGTTAACTGTGCAAATTAGTTACCAGCTCATTGAGAATTCAGGGACAGATTTATCCAACAGTAAATTTTTTGGTTTACTGAAACAGCATTAACTACTAAGCATCTGCATCAAGAAAGCCTACAAACCAACAGAACTGTTTAAGCATCTAGACAAACTTACGTAACTTGATACATATCTAGCTCAATTGTGTGACAAAATGCTCAAATTACATCATTGGGCCATTATTCACTTTTAGAAGCAGAAGAGACAGTGTTGACTTTGAAGTTAATGGATGATTTCATGAAGCATATCTGATCAAATGCTGGTAACTAATCTGAACTAGTCTATAATCCAACAGTCAAAAAAAAGGAATAGCCAAACAAAGCTTTATTACCACACAGTCAATAACCACTTCAACAAGAAATATTAGTTAGAAAATAACACCAATTCTTTTTGGTGTCGTGTCCCCCCCCCTTTTTTTTTTTTTAATTTTGCTCTAATATTGCGGATTCAAATCACAGTATCAGTAATCACCTATCAACAATCCCCATCATTTAACTTCTGCCAGTCTCACAGCAGGTGTGTTTTCTTATGCCCATTCCTACTTCTTGAGGAGTTATTAAATTAGTTCATGACCATACCCAAATGCCTTCCCCTCCTCAAAAATACTTTTAAAGATGTATCTGCCTAGGTAAATAAGCAACTTGGTTTTGGAATTTGAATTTTCAAAGCATGGAAGGAATTTTAAGTATGCACCTATCCAAAAAAGGACAGCTGCCAGAAGGGAAGTGTTGTCAGTCAAAGTGTGTTCTTCCAAAGTACACTCTAAATGGAAGCTGCATTAACGTAGGACAAATTTCTGCATGCAGTCTGAAAAGTTTAAAATCCAAGTTCTCTTAACATTTACAGAGCAGGAAATTTGTTCTGGATGAAGTCAACGTGTCATTGTACTGCTCTTTTAGGCAGTGGAACCTAATGAACAGCACAAAACATTCCTAGGATGCTCCTAGGATGCCAGATTCTCCAGCAGGGAGAAAGGCATAGGGGAAGAAACCAGTGTAACCAAACTGCTTTACAGGGGAAGTACAATTGCAACCCTTTTTGATTAGATGGTATACAGATTCCCCTCATAGTTCTGGGAGAAGGGAGGAAGGTGAGTGGGACAAAAAAAGGTCGTGTTTTTTTTTTTGTGGATGTGCGTTGGTTTTGGACACATTTAATGAAATGTGGTCAGTTTGATCTGTTAAACTAAAATGGCAGACCAGCTTAAGTCGACACTGAGCTCTGACAATCAAGCCCAGGGAACCAGTGAAGGAACTTGTATGAACTTACAGCGCAAACCGTCAGCAGACTGGGAAGAGTTTTGAGGGTTACGGTAAATGTTCAAGAGGGCAATGGTCTGAAATACAAAACGCAACAACTTTATATTATGGAAAATAATTTTAACAAGAAACCGGTTTCCTCTAGGGTCGCTTTAGCCGAGTCTGTGCTGAAAGAGAGGTGGTTATTCTCTCCCAAGGAGAACTTGCACTTAGCTGGTGACCTTTCTGAATCAGCCTAACACTGTAAAGTAATAGAGATCTCATGACACTCCATTATTGTATTTCTGGTTTTAATTTGACAATGTTACTCTAGTGCAGTTTTGCACAATTTCAGGCAGATACATAATAGATGACATCCAAACACAGTAATCAAATTACAGCCGTAATAATTTGTTTGAATTTGGTTGCATCAAATGGTTTCTTAGTAGCAAAATCACAGGAAAATAATACAATAATTACAGCATAACATGAAATCTCCATTTTCCTGAAAAAGTTAAGATGAAAAAAAAACCCCAGTTTTGGGAAACTTACCGTACGTCATGTATGTACCTATTTTTATCCCTTTTTGGTTTTAATTTTTTTGTTAAATCAAGAATTTGAAAAATGTCTGCAGTTTAACCCTTTAAAAAGAAAGGGTTACTACGCAATTGAGTTTCACTTTGCAGTGCAAAAGAGCGTCTGCATGAAGACCAATTTATGCAGTCACTTCTGCATTTTGAACTGCACACATTTGACAAGTTCTTGATCTATGCGCAAGAAGAGTTCCGTCACTTGTCCTGTTTGCAACAGCTTTATGTCAGCAGCTCAGAAGCCAACATTATTTACTCATAATTAGGAGTGGGCTCTTTAACACCATTCTTTAAAAAAATTTCTCCAACTGTGGGACTTACAGTGTGAGCCGTCAGCCGTCTGTGCACTGTTTTGGGGGTTACGATAGATGTTTTGAATCAAGATGGTCTGCGGGGAAAAAAAATAAAAAGGGGAATTCTACTGGCTGCTGTGCATATAATAGACAATTGCAAAGAGACAACTTGTTTGCAAACAGCTAAAAGTAAGATTCTGTTCTCAAGATTTCCTTTTGTATTTGCAGAATATCTTCCAAAATTGCATCCAGACCATCATATTATGAAAACAGTTTTAATTAACCACCAAGAAAGAGCTGCATTTGTCTCAAGAGCTATCCTCAAAACGAGTTATGAGGCAGTCACCTGAAACATCAAACTATGTGATCTTATGGAGATGCCTAGCTTTCAGGATGAGACTCATCATTGCAAGGCTGGGAGGGGGGGTGGAAACAGTGTTATGTGCACAGCGTGTAATACAGAATGCCAGAGTCTAAACTGCTACACCAGACAGTAAGGTTTTTAGGCAAGTCTCATTTTGTGTGTCAGGAATTTCTTGGTGGAATTTCTGTTTAAATAATATAATAGCATCATAGGTATCACGTTTCCGATCCTTCAAATAAGGACAATATCCTTTTAGCCCTTCTGCTTTTTACTTGAAGAATTAGCCCAGGCAGACTTGAAACCTTACATTTGTATCGTTCTTCTTAAAATCAAGTTGTCTGAAAAAACAAACCATGTTTAAGTTAGTAAACTAATATTACAAAAAAATTCCAAACGTCCATATCACTGTAAGCAGCTCAAAAATTGAAATTTGATTACTTAAAATACAAGCTCACCGTTAGTTAGTATGAATCACAATCCCCAAATAATTTTAGCTTACACATTATTATTAGTCACAGTAAGAATTCAGAACTTAAGTCACAGGACCAGCAATGTCAGACCTACATATGCTGCCCACTTCTTATGTAAAGAAAACACCAAAAACTGTAATTATCACATTTAAAAATTACACACATGTTTTATAATGGGTACAGTCATACCAACCAAAGCTTTGTGCTTCCATGGCCCAGGTTTAAAATAACTTATGTTTTGCCTACAATTGGAGAGAGCCAGAAACATGCACAGTTACAGCATTTCTGCTGATCAGTGGTAATTGAATCACCCTGGATCGCACGACCTTTCCTAATGCAGCTCTCCCATATAAAGGAGCTGTACCAGCAATAGCAACACAAGTTAAAAATACTGCGCTGGTAACTTTCCATTAATGAGTATCTGTTCTTCTATCACAGCTGATTATCAATCTGCATACAAGCAAAGATTTCTTTAGTGAACCCTACACACCTGCCAGGTACATTACAGGTGTTACAACACAGCACACCTGTCAGGAGAAGTGCTGAAGCAGTCCCAGACATCACTGGAAGAGTCGCACATTCCCTGCTGACCCACATCAGCTGGCACCGCTAACCACGGTCTCTAAAACAAAGCTAAAGGCTGCCTGCAAGAACTTCCTGACAGAGGAAAAAGTTGCCACAAAAGTCGCACAAAGGGTTGGGAGGCTGGGTTTTTTTGTTTGTTTTAAAAAACACACACACAAAAAAAAACCAACAAAACCAAGATGTAGTTTGTAGTGTTACATTTTGGGTTGTGGTGTTTGGTTTTTTTTGGGGGGTGTGGGGGAGTTGCTTAAAACCAAACCAAACCTAAAGAGAGCTACTGTGGAAGTGTCTAATTCAGGAATATTTTCTGGTAGCCAATGACCTAAATTCAAGTCTCTAAATAACCAATCACACTCCAGCATGCCCTTCATGTAGGTCAGCAACATGTAGTCATTTTGAAAATGGGCAATATTCCTTCTGAGATACAATAGTTACATTAAAAATTATTAACAAAAAAAAACAAAACAAACTAAAATACCAGAAGCAGGAAACTCTTTTTTGTACATGAAGTACCGGCAGTGGTCCCTCTTGGCCAGTATCCTCCAGTTACTGTCCCTTGGAACTCCCCCTGCAAACTCATGCACTCAAGAGTTTAACCTTGTGAGCATCACTGCTCTGAACTCCAGACACACGGATGGTACCTGCCTCCACAGTTCTTCCCACATTGACACCAGCCCACCATTCCCACCAATTCTGCTCTAAGTCAGCTCAAATGAACTTGCACAGAACTCCACTGCTATACAAGTTTTACCTTTGTAGGTGAAATCACTGATAACGGAACAACTTTCGTAAGCACTACCTGCCATCTACAATATTCCTGAAGAAAACTGTTTACCTGTGCACCTTGACAATCAGCAGTGATAGAAAGATAAATAATACACTTCTCTAGGAATGCAATTTCTGAGAACTACAGAGGTCATAATAACAAAACCCCTATCATCCGCTGCACCTTTTATTTTCCTTTTTTTTCCCCTTTCTGGCAGACATGCAGTAACGCATCATGTCTCCAACAATATTCACCTTGTCAGATTAAATAATTTGTCAGGTCAATTGATACAGACACCCTCAGCAACCAGGCAAGTTGTTTCCAAGAAACAACTCTTCCACATTGAAAAGAACAATGTACATTACTCTCAAAACTTATGAGCCTGGGTCAGAGAGCAAATGAAATGACAGACAAGTCACTTAGTTACTAATTAGTTTCTTCCATTATATGTATAAAAGATTTAAGTTCACACCTTTGACATAGGTGGAACATGCTGCCATTGTGATTAAAAAGATCTGGGATGGTTTAAGTGCCTAAACACCACTGAGAAGGCACACTCACCTGAAAGTTAGCACTGGTTGGTCTCTACTACAGGCAAGCTTACAACAGCATCGCTTCCTGCAGCCATTAAGGGTGACAGGAGATAATTAGAAATGCTGGGAGAAGTAAATGGAATACCCCCAAAAAAAAAAAAAAAAAGCAAAAACCCATATAAACTGGGGCCAAAAGTGAACTACTTAATCTGGAGCTTCGTAATTATTCACTTGTATCTGAGAATCTATCCTTTAAAGAAGCAAACTATACTTCCACAAGAAAGAGGAAACAAAAAGAAAACAAACCTGGCTAAATGTTGGTTTGTTGTGCAACCGAGAACATCTGTCTCCATGACGACAAGCTCCAATTTTGAAATAAAACGAACAGTTGACTCTGCAAATAAGAACAAAGTAGTTACATATTGGAACAGGAAACATTAATATGCAATTACCATAAAACATAGGCCCTACATGCCTTTATCTTGTTGTGCATAAGTAACACAGAAAAAAAAAAAATCAGTCTAGGAAAGTATTTACAACAAACCTGTTCACATCCATTCCTCTTTACCCCTAATGTACAGCAAGTAATCTCAACAATTTCACCTGCTACTCAAACCAAAAGTGCATTCAAAACACCACCACAGATAGAAGCGATGATCACCATTTTACCCTTCGGGTTCTCCGTTCTTGTCTTTTTACCAGTTTCACTGGGTGATGGGGTGGGAAATAATGTGAAAAACAGTCTGAGAAGCTTTACTGTGAGCTACATAGTTATGTCTTGGTTCATGCAACCCCCTAGTCTAGGCAATACAGTTGCACCTACCTAACGTTTTATAAGCTGCCTGTTTAAAGTTACACTCTAAGCGTAACTCAGACTGCTGCCAACACAGTACCTTCAATAATTCAGGTAAGAGAAAAACCACATTACAGAGAGAATACAAACAAGCAAAACATTTAGTTAAGCCATTTTGATGAGCGTAGTTAATGATTCGAAAAGGAAGCATTTAATATTTTTTTAAACCACAAGCTTTTCTTGAATTAACCATCATCTTGTGACATCTTCAGAACTACGCTGGTTTAGAAGTGCCAGCAACACTCACATATAAATTGTAACTCACTTGGAATGATGAAAGAAAACCATAAGGACTTCAGTTACCTTGACTGAGAAAACTGAATGCAAAATTCTGCAGGGCAAGAGAACTATTATGGGCTATATATGGGTGACTGAAACATAAGAATTCTCCTGGAAGAAAGATTATTATTTCCATGCTCAGAGTTAACACCAATTCTTTCCACAATCCTGTGTAGCCAACATCACCTCATGGAAGGGAGAAATATTAAAGTACTAAATCACATCTGATCTCTAGGAAAACATTCTACTGTAAAATGGTAACATGTTTATTCTTCATTATGTTTTTGAAAATATATACTTAGCATTACAATATACTTACTGTCTTTTCTGAACTCTAACCTGAAACAAAAAAAAGTACCTAACTATAAGATGTCCAATATGCCTCCAACTTCAAGACTTTCTGAAGAGTTCTGCTTGCTTTTTGAATAGAAAATAAGACCTGTAACAGGAATTTCATGCCTGCCATATTGGCACATACTAATACTGTTAAACTGCAATGCATAATATCAGAAAGGATGCTACAGCAGCAGAGCTCAAGAGTGGCTGCCGGCACTGCTTTTTCTGACAGACGAGTGCATTGGAACTGGCATGTAGCACTATAAAGCAGAAGGAAATCAGAAGCCTCATGGCCAGGGGCTGGCAAGAGTAATTTAGTCCAGCAGCACATCGATGCCCCCTTTCATTTTTAGGAGTGGAAAAACGCGTTGCTTTGGTCAGGCCGACGGTGGTGACCAAATTTTCGTTAGGAGTGTTTTCTAAGTACGCTTCCAACAACCAGAGAAACTAGAGGCGTTCCCGACGGGTGGAAGGCTGCAGGCAGAAGCCTGAGGATCAGGATGCAGCAGTCGGGGAAATCCTCCGCACCCTGGGGAGGGGGGAGAAATAACCAGTCGCTGTCCTCGCAGCATAGCGGGAGCTCTCGGGCCGCTGCGAGGCGCAGAGACACGAACAAAAGGAGGGAGAAGAGGCCCTCCCTGGCAGGGGGACTGGGGGTGGGGAGTGGGGAGAGGCGGCGGGAAGCTCCCGCCACCGCCAGAAAAGCGCCGCCGCCGGAGGGAGGGAGGGAGGCAGGGAAGGGAGAGGGGCCGTCAGAACACCACGAGGCACGGGCACACACGCATGGCGGCCGGGGAGCGGGGATCGGAAGGGGAGGAGGAAGTCCCCGAAGAGCGCGGACCCGGCCCGGCAAAAGGGGAAGAGGGAAGCGCATGGGCGGGGCCCGCCCACGCGGGCACGCGCAAGGCCCCACGCGGCGGAAGGCGCGCACACGCGCGCCCCCTTCCTCCCTCCCCGTCCCTTGCGGCGCGCGCACGCGCGCTCCAGCGAAAGGAAAGGAAGGGGAAGGGGGGGGGGGGGGGGGGGGGGGGAGAGAGCGAGGGCCGCGGGCCAGGGGCAGGCGGATTGTGGGGGGTGCAAGGGGAGTGAGCGCGCCCGCCTCGCTTCCTCTTCCCCTCACGGCCGCTCCGCCACATTCCAGCGCGTGGCTATGGCGAGGAGGGGAATGGATTGACGGATGGGGAGGGGTGAAGGGAAGGATCCCGCGGGCGCGCGCCCCGGCTGGGGGGGGGGGGGGTACCGCAGGGCCCCGAGGCGGGAGAAAATGGGAAGGGCTGACCGCCACGATGTGTATAGGCCGCCCAGGCTGGCGCTGCGCGTCCCCGCAGAACCCACTACCAGCCTCGGGGCTCCCGGAGCGGAGGGAGCGGCGCCGGTAAAAGGGATGGGCCACTCACTTGTCCTTCTCGGTGCCGAAGATGGAGGCCAGATACTCCGCCATCTCCCACCGCCCGCCCGCCGGACAGCCCGGCGCTGATCGCGGACGTCACAGACACCGCGCCGGAAACACTTCTACGGCGCGGGGCGGGTGGGCACGGCGCTTTGCGCATGCGCGGGGCGCAGCCAGGCCCTCATTGGGGGAGCGGCGCAGACCGCAATGTTCTGCCTCCCCCCCCCCCATCCAGTTCGCGCTGTCCTGTTCGCGCCACGCGCTGCCTTTGCTGCGCATGCGTAGTTGCTGCGGGGAGGCCATGGAGCTGAGGAGGGAGGCTGTCTCATTCTCCTTGGCCGTGGTAGGAGTGTCTTGCCCGCCCGGCCGGCCCCAGAGCAGGGCGAGGAAGCGGTGCTTCCATTGCAGAAGCACGGGAGGTAGTGCTCCGGAGAGTGGGCAACTGGAAGCTTCTCCTGTGCCTTGTTGGGGTGTTGGTTTCAGTTGTAACACACGTTCTGGTTGCCCTGTGGGTCAGCTAGGGGTTGTTACTGAGGGGTACTGTGTGGTGCAATGTCCAGATGTGTGCCTGGATTTATTCATTACACGTGTTCTGCTGTGTTTTGTGGCTGTCAGGGTGTTATACTCGAAGTGATCTGAGTGTTGCCCAGGTAAGCTCAGAGCAGAAGAAAGATAGCTTAAAACAATGGGTCAAGGAAATTGAGAACCTTAGAATGGTCTGGCTTGGAAAGGACCTTAAAACTCATCTAGTTACAGGCTTTCTACCATGGGCAGAGACACCTTCCGCTAGACCAGGTTGCTCCAAGCCCCATCCAGCCTGGCCATGAACATTGCCAGGGATGGCGCAACCTGTTCCAGTGCCTCACCACCCTCATGGGGAATAACTTCCTGAAGTCTAATCTAAGCCTACCCTCCTTCAGTTCAAAAACACTCCCCCTTCTCCTATCACTGCATGCCCATGAAGCACATGGCTAAGGGGCCTGACAGCTCAAAAAATGGCAGTCTGAAAAAAAAAAATACCAAAATGCGACATGACAGAAGGACTGTGGCAGGGACAGGGAGGGACTGAGAGGGAACTTGGAGCACCTGCAGTAGGTAGTGGGAGCACTGGGAGGGATTGGGAGTTGAGCATGGCTGCAGGTGGGAAGAGCTGTGGCAAGGACTGGGAGCCCTGGGATGTTGAAACCCCAGCAGTATCTGGGGCCCTAGTGGCCTATATTGCTCTGTACTGGTGCAAACTGCTCCATACCGGGATGTGTAAATTCGCAGATGACACCAAGTTGGGTGGGAGTGTTGATCTGCTGGAGGGTAGGAAGCTCTGCAGAGGGATCTAGACAGGCTGGATCCATGGGCTGTGGCCAGTGGGTTGAAGTTCAACAAGGCAAAGTGCCGGGTCCTGCACTTGAGCCACAACAACCCCCTGTAAGGCTCTGGGCTTGGGAATAGCAGCTGGAAACCGCCCGTGGGAAAAGAGCTGGGTGTGCTGATTGATGGAGCTGAACATGAGCAGCTTGTTTCCAGGCAGCCAGGAAGCTACCAGCATCCTGGCTTGTATCAGCATCAGTGTGGCATCAGGGCCAGGGCAGTGATTGTCCCCCTGCACTGGGCACTGGTGAGGCTGCATCTTGAATCCTGTGCTCAGTTCTGGGCCCCTCACTACAAGAGAGACATTGATGTGCTGGAGCAGGGCCAGAGAAGGGCAGTGGAGATGGTGCAGGGCCTGGAGCACAAGTGTGATAGGGAACTGCTGAGGGACCTGGGGGGGTTTCATCTGGAGAAGAGAAGGCTCAGGGGGGACCTTATCGCTCCCTACAACTGCCTGAGAGGAGGATGGAGCCAGGAGGGGGCTGGTCTCTGCTCCCAAGGAACAAGGGACAGGACAACAGGAAACAGCCTCAAGCTGCACCAGGGGAGGTTTAGATGGAGATGAGGAACAATTCCTTCCCCAAAGGGTGCTCAGGCATTGGAACAGGCTGCACAGGGCAGCGCCGGAGTCACCATCCCTGGAAGTGTTCACACACCATGTAGAGGAGGCCCTCAGTGCCATGGGTTAGTGGTGGCCTTGGCAGTGCTGGGATAAGGGTTGGACTGGATGATCTTAAAGGCATTTTCCAACCTGGTTGATTCTGTGATTCCATGATTTGCTGGGGAGCAGCATTAAAAGAACTTCATATGACTGTAGAGAAGATAAGGATTCTGCGTAGAAGATAAATTGTACCAATTAGCCATTGGTACAAAGGACACTGACAAGAAATCCAAATTAGACCATTGTTATCATGACTTCAAATGCTGGAATAAAGTAATTGCTCAAAGGCAGGAAGGTGCAGGTTCTGAAGGAGTTTAAAAGCCAGGTAACCTGCAAAGAAAACCATGCGTCGTAATTAAGAGCAGAGGAGAGGTAGGACCAAATTTTTTGATTGTTTTGGGAATTTACATGGAATTATGGACCAAAAGCCTCAAATTTGATCCAAGCAAATTGAAATTTTTGAAATTGAACAATAATGCATTTGGAAGACTGATACCATACACAGCCTGATCAGCTTTTGCAACAAAAGTAGTGTGCCCGTCTGAGAATCATGACAGCAACGTGGACTTACTCACTTTGTTGACGAAGAGAACAAGACTGAGCACTCAGTGTATTGCAAGCAAAATTTGTCTCTTTAGTATTTTGGAATTCCCTGAAACATTTACAAATATGCTTTACTTCACCTAGTGTTCACAGCCCCAGTTGGAGTCCATAGGACTATGTACAATCAACAAGTGCTTGCTGTGTTGTGCCCTAACACAATAAAGTTGAAACTTAACACCATGTCCAGTTCTGAGGAAGCAAGCTGAATGTTTTTCCTGTCTGACTCCAAATTATTTTTTAAATACATCTGCTGTAAGACTGGAACAGCAATCTTAGTAATGTTTCACTACTTTGACAATAGTTGCACCCAAAGAAGTCAGTCTAATTGCTTTCTATGGCACCCTCTCAAGTTCCTCAGTTGGGCTGAGCTGATTCAGAGACGAAATCCATCACAGGACAAGAACAGCCCTGGAACCACTGTATGTCCTGCTACATTCTTTCTGTGTGTAGTCTTCTGGGATGTAAAGCTCACCAGCTCTCCACTGCTCCTTACTGAGATGTCAGCAAGTTTCTGCTAGGACTTCGGCCACATGCAGACAGGTTAACCTCTTCCTCCTGCAGTTCCTGACTCCTTCCAAATTCACAATTTTGATCCAAGTGTTAGAAGCAGAAATTCCTGTCAGATTCAGAAGATCTTGTTACCAGAGAAGAGGTACTGCTGTTTAGTTTTGCCTTGCAGTATACATGCCCTGTAAGGTTTGTCTGTTAAGAGGGTATGCTTTTTTGCCTCTGTTGCTCACTGTTGGTGTGCCTCCTACCTCAGCTTACCACTGCAGTTTAAATTCACTAAACCAGCAGAAGCCAAACCCTGCAAATAAAAGGGTGATTTTCTACTCATGTAGTGAGCTAGACTGGCTCACTGAGCAGTTCAGTGTCCGAGCTAGCATGAGGGAAGATTGGGCCTCCTGCAGCTGTAGCTTGGAGCATGGGTGGTGAAGGAGCAGCGCAGCCCCTTTCAACAGCAGCCTCCTGCTAGATCAGTTCAGTCATCTGGTGGAAACCTGCTGTGAGTCTTGAGCTAGCCCCAGTCATCCAGGGAACTACAACTGCAAAGGCCTGCAGTGAGCTCTGGCAAAGTACAAGTTCCTGGTGATTTTCATTCATCAGCCTGTAGTGTGTGTTTGCAGAGCATATGCTTTACATAACAAGCAGAACAAACTTGCACTGATTTTCACTTTATTGTTTTTTTTAAAGCCTTCAGCTACAGTATGCTGAAATAAGTCTATCCTGAGGAATTAAAATTGGTTTTCGCTGTTTGAAATGTGTTGGTTTCTCCCTATCTTCTAAAGACCCTGGTCGCTTTAGATTTCCCTTAGCTCTAGCTTATGTGATGGACTGCTGAGAGCAAGAAACATTTTCCAGTCTGTGTCTTTAACTTAAGCACTGTAAGTCAATTGTACTGAAGTCTGCTGACTATGGGAGCCATGTTTCACAGGGAAGTAACTTGACCTAGAGGTGCTATTGGAAAACAAACCAAAACAGCTGCTCTCATGGTAGAAATATGCCTTTGTACGTGACAAGCAGAAATCTCATGATGCCTCCAGTGAAAGTAGGTTCCTAAAATAACTTGTTAGGAGTACAAGCTCAAAGAGAAAATTGCATGGCATTCTGCTTTGTGGCTTGTCAAACTGGCACAGTGCTGGTAATGATCTGCTGTCTAGAGAGAGCTTGACTAATAATATCTTCCCTCAGTTTTGTGAGACAGTAGTTGTAGGACCAGGACTACACCTTAGAGGCAACAAACAGTTGAAAATAAACCCACTTGTATTTTGCTCTGCATTTTCTCAGCAGTTCTCTGTACCAGGGGTTGCCCTTACACTGGGGACAGCGGAGTTCATCTCCACCAGAACTTTATAACCCTCTGCCTCTTTCTGCATCCCTTTTCACTCCTGTGCTCAGCCTGGCTGTGCACATGCCAACAACAAAGTCATCACCATGACGTACCAAAAGTGTCAGAGGTGTTAGCAGTAATGTGACTGATTATCTGAGAAGTGGGATATCTTCCCCTTGTGCCAATGTAGCTGAACAGTTTTTGAAAGAATGTGATGCTGCAGTGCATCTGCCTAATGGAAGGGCAGCCGTGTACACAGAGCCTATAGGCACTGGAGGCAGCATTATGTGGACATGTCACACTGAGGATAAAAGGCTCTTCCTCAGCTTCCTTGAGTGAATTCACCTTGCATACAGGGCCAAGCTTAGAAGAAAGAAGGGGACCTGGGGCAGAAACTAGGGAGTGTGAGAAGACCAGGGAGAGGAAAGAAGATCATTTGAAGTTCATGTTGACAGCAGAGCTAGAAAGATGGAAGACAGGAGCCAGTGAAGTAAAGGAAACATGAAGGAAAGGGTCTCCAGAGAAAAACAGGAATCCAAAACAGAGTTCCATGTAACTACTCGTTACTGCATATTTTATTTGCCCAAATCTACATGAGAACATTTGCAGGACTCAAGAGAGAGAAACATAGTCTGTATGTGTTCCTGGGCTTCACCCATACTCTGCTGCTATGGTCTTGTTCAGGTTAGTGACTTATTGCAGGTTACTCCTCTGCCCCAACCTGCTTATATCTATCGGTTTTAATGCTACCACAA